AAAAAACATCTAAGAAATTTAGGAGTTATTTCTTTTAATTAGTGAATTTAATTTTTTTCAAGTTTTGTGGATGAAATTTAAGTTGAGATTGACATTTTGATTAGTATTTATTGAGATTTTGAAACAATTGTAGGAATTAGTTATGATTTTTTTTGAATTTTTTTGAATTTATTTAGGATTTATTTAGGATCTTTAGGATTTTATTAGGCTTTGATTAGGATTTGATTTGGATTTTAGTAGGATTTGATTATGATTGAGGATCTTATTAGGATTGATTTAGAATTATATTAGAATTTGATTAGAATTTAGAAACTTTTTAAGATTGGTTTAAAATTATATTCGAATTTGGCTAGGATTGGTTTGGGATTTCATTAGGATATGGTTAGGATTTGGTTAGGTTTTGGTTAGAATTGGTTTAAGATTTCATTAGAATTTGGTTAGAAGTTATTTAGGATTATATTAGAATTTGGTTAGAATTTATTTAAAGTCTATATTTTTAATATTTAAAAAAATGATATTTTTTTAGGATTTTTTTCTTATATATATTTCTTTAAGGATAATTTATAATTTTATTATGTTTCTTTTGAAATTTCTTTAAGACTTCTTTTAAATTGATTAAAGATTAATTATCATTGTTAAAATTGAATTAGAGCTTATTTAAAATTGTGTTAGAGTTGTTAGGACTTTCTTGTTGGAAATTCTATTTTACCTTCCATAATCAAGTACCTGGTGCATTTTCAAGCAAACTTCATAGAATATGATACTATTGTATGGTATTCAACATTGACATGTGTCATTGTAAATAAAAATAAAACTAAGTAATATTACAAGGTTATTTTTGTTGAGACCCATAAGAATAATGTATTTAAATAGAAACATATTGAATACTATATTTTCATTGATAATATGATATTTATTTTAAATAATTTATATATATATATATATATATATATATATATATATGTAATACAAACCTCAATATCTACAAATAATTGACTTTATTGAGAATTTTTATCTTCTTTGCTATCAACCATTAAGTTAGAATTTAGTAACAAATAAGTATGTTATAAATGATTAAATTTCTTTTAAGATTGAGATTTGAGCACTAAATATTTTATCATTACAATCAACTAACAATTTACATCAAATAGCCATTATTTGTAAGTTATTAGATGAATTCTATTAAAAAAAATTCACCAAGCCAAAATAATCAACATTATTTTTTAATAGATCAATTGCCAAAATATAAATTCTTTGTTATTTTAATCTACAATAGGTTACATACAGATCTATATTATATTAATTCTACCTAAAATATTTACTAATAATATAAAATATTTTATAATTTATAGCAACTTTAAAAAAAGAATTTTTTAATTTTTAATTTATACTTTTTAATAATTAAGAATTTAAATTAAACTTAATATAAATGTAATATACATTGTGAAGATTGCAAAGATAGAAATTTATGAGTTTAATAATTAAACTATACATGATGATGTCATCACATGATTTTCTATAAAAAAAATACTATTATTGAGATAAATAATTAAAAAAATCATTGCAAAATGCTATAGATAATTACATATATTTGCACCAAAAAGACAATTTTTAGTTTTCTTTATAAAGTTGTATTGGAGAGAATCTTGTTTAATTGATTTTATTTTATTTATTTTTATATAGAACTGTATAATTTGGTTATGATTTGAATATGTTTAATATAAAATTATATGGTTTAATTTGGACTTAATTTCAAAAATCTATTCTTAATTTGATTTGATTAGGTTTAATTTGATAGTAGCTTTAAACAAATCGAAATAAATCACATAAATCAAATTATTTCAATTTCAATCATAAGTGTAATCTTTGGTTAAACTTGGTTTAATGGTTGATTAAATTATTAGCTATGTTTTTTTCTTAAATTTGTACAATAAATTCTTTCAAATAAAAAGGATATTGTATCTTTATATATATATTTAGATAGCTTACAATTACAATTGTGTCTAATATTTTTCTTTCTATCTTAATATAATTCATTAACCTCATTGTTCTTAAAACAAAAGTATTGTAGCCCTTCATTTTTACCAATTAGCTAGGTATATATTGAATGATATTTTTTTAAATTAAGATAAGTTCTTATGGTGAATTATTTTTTTTAAGTATTTTGTAGTTAGATTGATTATTTTATAAAATTATTGTATATTTTTATAATAAAATAATTATTTATTGTGGTTTTTATTTTTTGTTTGTATTCAAGGCTTAAAAAATTATAAAAATATAATGGAATATTTTCACCTAGTCTATCAAAATTTGTCTAATTTTGTATATATACATTTGGTTGCATATCAGGCAATAGATTCTAATTTCATAATTTTATACAACATGGTTTTTATTCTTGGTGGTGATAATATTATATTCATTAACTTTAATTTTGTGTATTAATAGAGCTTAAAAATTAAGAAGTCAATTATGGCCCAAAAAAATAATATTTTTATTTTAAAAATTCAATCACAATAAAATTTGTGCCCATTGCATTAATTATATTATAGTTTATACATATCTCTCAATTAAATTTTATGTTATTTCTAGCAAAAATAACTAGTCTAATAGAATAGATCTAGCAACCTTAGTCTTTTTTTAATCTTTTTTATTATTTTTATTTCTTATGGTATTATAATTACACAAATCAATAATCATCTATTATGTTATTTTTTAAATGTAAAGTTTAGGTTCTATCTTTATTTGTACTTTATATTGGTCCAACATTATAATTCAATGGCATATTATATTGTTGGCTATTGTAAATAGGCTTTGAATATTTAGAAAGTGTTTCAATTTGGTTTTTCTTGAAATTAACTATTCTTAATCTTATAGTTTGAGTCTTGGCAAAAACAGCACCATACTAGGATGTTGTTACATTCAATAAAAACACTCTTTATTTTCATTATAGAGTTGGTCACCACTATTTATATTACTATTCTGCAACAAATATCAAAGCCACACATATTAAGGTTTTCAAATTTTATTAATTTTTTAGAATTTATTTTAAATATGCCCCAAATTAGATATATTCCATGTAAATATTTTTAAATATTCATCTAGTAAATCCTTTAGAATTATCTATACTACTATTTATAATATTTTTTATTCTTTTTTTAATTTTAAAATTTTATGTAAAATCAAAAATAAAATCTAGATTTTTAACTTAGAATGTAAATAACATTAAAAGTATAAAATGAAGTGAAATAAATAATGTCTTATATTTAACATCTTCAAAGATAAATTTGAGATAGAAATAATCTTTATCTATATTCTTTTCTTACTAGTTACTACTACCCACAACTTTTAAGAGTTTAACCAGCCATAATGCGATTTTTTTGTACAAAAAATTCTTTTCATAAAATAGAGAAATTTAACATATTTTATAAAATATCCTATTTTTTTAAAATAAAATTTGAAAGTGTAGTTTCTTAAAGTTAAATACCTCATTTACTTCATTTCATACTATTAAATTTTTATTATCAATTATCTTTACAATTTTAATTTGTATTACTATAAGAATTATGAGTTTTAAAATTATACTTAAAGATAATAAATCAATACTAAAAATATCTTCTAACTAACTAAATATTATACTTAAAGATAATAAATTAATACTAAAAATATCTTTTAACTAACTAAATATTTAAAAAATATTATTACTATATATATATATATATATTTTAGCAATAGAGTCTATAAACCAATCTTATTGACTATGTTCTAATTTAATGATGTTTTCTTTTATATTTTTATTTAATTTCTACAAATCATATTCATCTTTATACTTGTTGTTTCAAACTTAATTTTCAATTCAATAAATCTAAAGACTTCTTATATACAAATTGATAATTCACGATTGCATATATTCAATGTCTTTATTAAGCTCTTTCATGTCAATTTTTTTTTCCTAATGGTTGGTTTTTTTGCAATAATTACATATTGCTGCACAAAAACCATATCTAACACTATTGTTTTTATTGTTAGATTGTAGTGAATAAAAAATTTGAAACATATATCTAAATACTGAGTATAAATCCAATCTATATAATATATTTTATTTGTATATATTTACAAGCTCACTTCTACAACCACTACCATGTCCAAAGAATTGCCTTTAGACTAGCATCGCTTTTTCTTTCATCCCATTATTGCCTCTTTACTTCTACGAATCTTCAATATGCATTTGTAGATCAATGTTGGCATATGTAGATAGGAAGTATATTTATAAGATCAATGCTAAAGATTGAGATAAAAATAGACAAGCTTGAAGGCAATCTATCCAAAATAATGTACATCAACTTCATTTCATCAACCATTGCATTGAATCTACCTAACATAGTATTTTTAGATTACACATCATATAGATAATTATCTATTTTATGTCTTTTTTCAAATACATCATTTATTTTTCTATCTAAAACAATCATGTGCTAAAATATATCTCTTATACAATGTAGCTTAAAGTAATTTCAACACTCTACAATATCTAAGTCAAATATATTAATACTAGTGGAAAAAAACTCTTTTTTATTATAGACATCAAGTGAAACTTTTCTTTTATCTTCAATTAATTGACTTATTTAGCAATAAGTGGTAGCTTTGCTTCCTCAATAGCTCAATTAAGATTGCTTTCTTCATTTGAAAGCTCTAGTTTAAACTTCAACTTGTCTCACATCTCATCTCTTTAAAAAAGTGCCTTAATTTAAATTTAGAAAAGTGTCTTAATTTAAATTGACCATGATACATATTTGCACCCTCTATCTAATTGTTTTATCATAAAAAAAAAAAAATGCTTCACCAAATATAGTGATATTTTTATACTATTTCCTTTTCTTTTTTTTAAATTATCTCTCTCACGACATGGAGTTCTATAATAATCTACAGAACTCAAATGCATGTAGGAATCTCACTCATGCCCAATTGATGCTTTGGGCTCATTCGATTGCATTGCTCTAATATCATAAAAAGCGACATCATCTCACCTTTATTTATTGAGAAATGAACTGCAGGAAATAGTGGCAACATCGCCTAAGTAGAGCTTAAGTGAGACCGACTAAGTAGAACTTGATCCTAGCTTTACCCTAAGTAATGTAAGCGTCGGATGAGTGAACTAAACAGAGGAAGAGCGCATGTGTGCTTCCGACACAAACATGTTTAAAGTCTTCGCATTAAGACATGCGCATCCAGGATACAAATCTTTCACAGCTCATAACTACTCATACCAGAACGTCGGAATGCAAGCCAACAAAAGCAGTACCCAGGCCACGAATCCTCGAGGTTAAGTTGTTAGAGAGTACCTTTGCCTGCTACTACAGATCGACACTGACGTGTGAAGTTGTCAGCCGAAGGTGATACCAGAGGCGCTGCGGGCTTGTAAATGTTTAGAAGAATGCCTGGGTAGGGGTCGATGCAATGAATTACTAGAAGAAGAATTATGACGGTGCGTAGCGGAAATATTAGCGAAGTGAGGAAAGTGGCCATAACAAGGACGCCAAACCAAACCTAATCATCAAGTTCTCCTGAGCAGATGCTTAGGTACACGGTGATCTCATATGAGCCACGCGCTCTTGAAGGATGAAATGTCTCCTCGACGAAATGAATCGAATTGTAACGGTGCAGAGGTTCCCTTCAACTTTTAAAGTCATCTCGGTACCGTATGCAATGCTTTGAGAGCTTAGCAGGAATTGAAATATTAGAGTTGCGCATGCTAACCTCTCATGTTGTTGACGTTTGTGAAACGATTGCAAGAGCTGCTCATCATGAACTATCTATCACCCTAAATCTATCGCAAGTACCGACGAGAAGGACGAAGAGTAAAAGTATCAGGGACGATTGAGTCTAAGAAGCAGGAGAAGTCACCGACGAAGTCAAATCAAGTGGCGTCAGCATCAACCACACGAACACAGGATGAAGTACTACGAGTAGTATGTCATAATCGTCTTCATTACTCAATCAATTACAACCGACAATTTTAAATTCCGTCTGGATAACTATTCACAAAAGAATTCTAACCAAGGCATAGTCTCATCGTATGCTTAATTCTTAGAAACCTCTAGAATGTAGGTGTACAACCGATGGTCCAGACACATTCCCCTTCACCGTGCCATCATACCATGAAATCTAACGATGAATCTGTTTGAAAGAAACGTCTCCCACTGTATGCACACGTGAAAGATCTGCCATAAATGAAAGGGAAAACGGGTAAGTAATCAAAGCTCGGAGCAAACGAGAAAGGGCCTAATAGCAGCCTTAGAAATTCCGAGATTTCGGCGCAGTGGCTATGCCCAGAGGGATGGCCGACAAGTTGGAGGGTAATCTGGCATAAAACCATTCCGTTAATTACGGTCGTGAAGTCACGGGGACACCAATGTGCTGCAAATGTGGATCGCTGACGCGAATAGCAATTCCTTCAAAGGCAGTTCAATCAAAGCCCCGCCTAATTTGTACCTGGCATTGAAGGCGCACTCTCGTGCAGAGCATACTTTCCACCTCCTAGATATGACAGCGAACGTCGATTGTTGACAGTGGATGAAATGCACCGTTACAATTTCGAACCCATGTTGATCATCAGAGTTAGAGTTTTCAACAATTGTTGTTAGATTGTTGAATAGGAATCCTGATTCGTACTTTTTGCTGCAAAAAAATCATTCGCACGCAGACCACCGCACGCTTCAAGCTCACGGAATGCTGCAAACTTTAGTCTCCGCACATTCGACAAGCTGATCACCATGGAATCGAATTTCGAACACAGAGTATCAGACATCCGATGAGAAGCTGAGCTTGAAATCAATGTAGAGCAATCTCGATGCGCGTAATCGAACATGTAAACGACAAGCGAAGCTCACCGATGGGAAGCATCGCACAAGAAGACCTTACATAGAAACGAGCTTCGGCGCAAGAAACTCGTGAATCGATATTTCGCCGCGTGCGACCAATTTCTCCGCAACAAATAAAATTATGAGGGTCCAAAGCTGGATAGCCACGGCCAAGACCACGAATAGGCGTGCAGAAACGCCGAAGCTGTGAGGGAGCGTTTGCAACGATCGATCGAGCTCTTCCATGAAATGACCTCGGAGATGAAGGCACAAATCCCACAAACAAACAAAACAAAGTCAAGCAAAACAAATTACAAAAAACAACAAAAAAAATTGTGGCAAATCAGCAAAAATGTGCATTCAACTAACTAAGTTTTTCGAAGAAGTTATAATAAGGTGTATGCACATACACAAATAAATGATTATATAAACACATATATATAAATATATATATTTTTAAGTTTGTAACATCTAAAATAGAATAAAAAAATACACATCATAAAATTTTAAATTAGCAAAAGTTAGTCTCAATAATGATTTGTCATATATATATATATATATATATATCTTATACAGTTATGTATAAAATATTAATATTAAAATATATTGATTTTCTTACATTGATTTTTTGATACCTTACTGAACTTACTTATTTGCATCAAAAATTCTAATATGAAAAAATTTAAGAACTTAAAATGTTATGTGTTGAATGAACAAAAACGTTCTATTGAAAAATTACTTTTAATCACAAAGAAAATTAAGCCTCTTTCTTTTTCACATAAACTCAATAATTTAAATGTAAGTCTTAGAATCTATTAGAATATCACTTATAATCTAAGTTTGGTGATGATGTTGAATAAACAAACATGATTGAATGTTAGTTTGAAATAGTGATTATACACTTAATTACCATAATTTTTCTACTACACCCTATATTTGGTAATAACAAAACAAAACCAAAATATGATTCTATATAATAAAGCTTAGAGAGAATGGCAAAGTGGGAGTTGATGTATTCCTATTTCTTCTCTTGGTTTTTATTTCATCTTTCTAAAACACATAGAATTTGTGAGAACTTTTTTGGATGTTTTTAATGTCAAAATAAGAGTTCAGAAAAAAAAAAAAAAAAAAAAAAAAAAAAAAAAAGATTACATCTAGACTTATTGCACATAAGTGTAAGTTGAATCTCTGTCATATGTGCAACAATTGTTCAACACAAGTAATACATTTGAAATATTAGGTTTTAACTATAAAAGTATGTGTAATTTAAACAGAATATTTCAAAATATAACAAACTTATAATTGTTGAATAAATATTTATCAATACTCTTGTGCTTGATTGATTGATATACATAATACTTATGTCGATGTTGTATTATTCATAACTAGTCATTTATGTCTAAAAGATTTAGCTCAATGCATTAAAAATGTAATTTCTCTACATTTATCTTCATTATGCTGAAACACAATAATATAATATGATACATCCGTGCATATACATAGAACATGTAGTGTTATTTGATGTACAACTTTATTGTGAATATTTGACTACAAATAAAGCAATTCAGAAATCAATTAAAATTATATTAAATTAAATTAATTTTTTTGTGGTAGAAGCGTTTTATAAACTATAATTTAAAATATCAATATTAATAAATTTCTACTTAATTAACATGTTTAGATTATAAAAGGTATGTTGCAATCTTAATTGTCTAATATCAATGTACTCACCTTTAATAAATTGACTATACTAATATTTTCATGTTTTGTAAAATCTATCATAGAAATTAAAATGGTTTTTTTTTTTTAATTTTTTTTAATTTTTTTTTGCTTTTGATTTTAAAATTTTACACAATTATCTTTTGAGTTTATAAGAATGGTTGTACCAGAAGAAAAATATTTCAAAATACAAAATAAATGAATTGATGGATAAACATGCTAGCTAAGAAGTATTATGAAGTTATTTTTTTTGCAATTTACTGTACCTCAAATTTTGTTTCTTCTGAACCTACAAAGTTTATTGTTGTAAATAATTTAAATTTTCATAATAATAATGCATGCAATGTAAATGCATTTTTTAATTTTTTATTTATTTATTTGTATGAATTTATTTATTTAATTAAAAAATATCAATTTATGATTTGGGATTAAAGATTTTAGTAGACTTGAAAGAGTTGATTTAAGTACCATATTTATAAATCCATCTCTTATTTTGTACTTTTCTTAATCATTGAAACATATCACATTAGTTGTAAACTTATTTCTTGGTATATACAAAATATTAAAATATCTAATTATTATCATATTGAAATAAAATCAAATCAAATAAAGTATATTTTTAATAGAATAGTTAACTTCTTAAATTGTGACTTTGACATAAAATATCATGGATTTTATAACAACAACTTCTTATCATGGACATACATACTTATTGTAATATTTATCCATATTTAATTTATCCATATTTAATTTATTTATATTTAATTTATTTATATTTAATTTATCCATATTTAATTATCCATATTTAATTATCCATATTTAATTTATCCATATATAATTTTAGATTTATTTCATTATATTTTCTAGATAAACTTCCTAGAAGCTTCATAGACACTACTTTGACTTTACATGTGTTTGTAGTCGATTGATAGGTTAGATCTTGGTCAACAAGTTAACTATGGGTAAGTAGCTTACAAAACAAGCTAACTATATGGCACATATATAGAAAACTTGCCTTGCAAGCTAAGATATGTATCTTGTAAAGTCAACACATTTTGGAGGTTTTATAGGACATTATTACATAGCTCCTAGTAAAGAATATATATAGAGGCAAGAATGAAGCCTTCTTCATTTTTCTCAATGTCTTTCTAGTCCTTAGTCTAGTCTCAAGAATTTCTAATCTTCTTGTCTTTAAAAATAACTATTCTACTTCAATATGTTTCCATCTTTGAGTAATTTTCTAGTCTTTCTAAGTGACACAAGAGTGTATTAAAGATTTTTTTTTTTTCAAGATTCATATCTTTGATAGTTTGATAAGATTGCTAACTTATTATTCTTGTCTTGTTTTTAAAATGAATAGATTATCTTATTTATATTATTATATTTTGAAGCTTGTAGATTATCCACCTTTAAACAAATTGTTTGATTTTCTAACACCAATTTTTTTCCTTGAATGGAATAGACTACCTCTTTTTGTGGAAATTTTCATTCAATATTAAAGGTTACAAATTACCTTCTTCTAATTTGACTTGTGGATTTGTTAAGTTGTTTGAAATAGAAAGAAAAATCATGGATGCTAAATTTGATAAAAGTGAGAATGAATTTGTAACTATTTTAGATCTTCATGAATTTATTAATATTTTTAGAGTGGAAATTTTACACATCATTAGTACCAACTACAAAATTACTAATCCTATGCCTATGGAAGAAGATAAGAATCTACATCAAGAATTTGTATAGTAGAAAGAAGAAAGTAGATTGATCTTACAACCAAATCTAGGAAGTTTTGCTTCTATAAGTACCATGGAATACAAATAATTATGCCCAAGAAGTTTGATGGAATGAGATCAAAATTTTGAGGATTTTTGCAATAAGATAAATTCTATTTAAGATTATATTTCTTCTAATATTGTCATGGATTTACTCAAGTTGGATTGATAAGTGTACTTCTATCTAGAAGTGCTCTTTCTTAGTTTGCACTTTTGATGGAAAATAATTCATAATTCTTTTATGATATGAATTCATTCTTAAAAGTATTTAAGGCCACATTTAGAAAAAGTGATCAAAAAATAATAGCAAAAATAAAGCTCTTGTATTTGTGACAAAGATCATAGTCAGCCATAATATATGCAGTTAAATTTTAAAAACTTTCTTGCAATGTAGACTAGAATGATAAAGTCCTTATTAATCAATTTTGATATGGATTGAATAATAACATTAAAGATTTATTATTTACAATGACAAAAGTAAATTTTTTAAAATAATTTTTACTTAAGCCACTACATGCAACAATTGAGTATTTGAAAGATGTTAAGAGAAAAGACTTGGTTGAAGAGGAACAAGTTAAGTATTAAAGATAGCTCTTAAGTTTTCAAAAACTTATTCATCAAAGCCAAAACCAAATCAAATTGATATAGTACATTTTAAATCTTTCATTGATTAAGAAAAGTTTTGACATTATCAAGAAAATTTGTGATTATATTATGGAAAAGCTAAGCATATAATTTAATATTATTCAAAGAAGCAATAAAATCACAAAATGAGAAGCATGATTACTAAAGAAGTTAAGATATCAAAAAACAAGTTTTTTCAGCTACCATAGGAATCATGTGGCTAAGATCTTATGTTATTCCTAGTAAAGGTCTTATTCTCTTCTCAGATCTCTCATCTTGTTTTATAATAGAAGTTTATTTAGGACCAAAATATCACAAAGTCTTGGCCTTGTTAGATTCAAAAATCTTAGCATGTTTTATAGACAAAGACTTTATCAAAAAAAAAGAAATAGTATTAATCAAAAAAACTAAATTTGTACATATTGAAGTCCTAGATGGTCATTTGTTATCTTTTAGAGATGTTACCCATAAGACTATTTCTTTAGATGTAGTAATTAAAAATTATAATAGTGTAGTAATATTTAATATTATAAGATTTTCCTCTAATTTAGTTATTTTAGGATTATCGTGGTTAAAAAAGTATAATCTTTAAATAAATTGGATTTCTTATAACCTTAATTTTTTTGATAATTTAATCCAAAAATTTAATATTGAAGTAAAAATAGATAAGCTCAATACATCCAAATCCTTATTGATAGGTGTAAGAGTTTTTATGCATGTAGCAAAAGAAGTATCATCTTTTGTTATACCACACTTATTTTTGATGGTCAAAAGATGTTAAGTGGTATTCTTAGCCAATATCAAGATTTCTAGGATGTTTTTAAAAAAGAAAAATACAGGTATTCTTTCATGCCATCAATCCTATGATTGTTCAATTGATATACAAGAAAGAGCTCAACTACCATTTAGACCAATCTACATCTTATTTTAAAATAAGTTGATTTCACTAAAAGAATATATTGACAAAAACTTGGCTAAGAACTTTATATACTATTCAAAATCTTTCATAGGAGCTTCTATCTTATTTGTGAAGAAAAATAATAGATTTTTGCAAATGTACAAAGACTATCAAGGATTTAATAAGATCACTATTAAGAATAGATATCTCCTACCTTTGATTTCAAGAATTTTTTACCAACTCAATCAAATAAAGACCTACTTAAAAATTGATCTACAATGAGTATACAACCTGATTCATATCAAAGAAGATGACTGGAAGACTATTTTCTGAAATAAGTATGGACATTTCA